TATCAAAAGGTTCTGTATTTGCATTGTAACATTTTCCTAAATGTTGCCTATGACATATACCATACATACAGTAATCATTAAAAAGACTAAAACTGATGCTGACAGTAATAACAACTAAAATTAAACATTTTTATACAATAAACGAGTACGTAACCTGACTTAAAAAAAAATACAAACAGAATTAAAATAAAAACTAATTAGAATATCTGGATTTGTGTGTGTGTGTGTGTGTGTGTGTGTGTGTGTGTGTGTGCACGTGCGCACGCATTGATTGACATAGGCAGCTATTTAGTAAGAGTCCCACATGTTACAGTCTTTTCTGAATGCTTAAACCCTAACTGTGATTCTTATGGCATAATTTCTAAAACTATTAATACTTATAGCAAAACCACTCACTGAGTTTGCAAAACTAAAAGCACAAACACTGCTTTGCACTCAATTTGCCATTTTGCAACACACACTTTGCAAAACTGTAGGTGCAATCCACTGCACAGCACTCTTTTTGCGGAACTGTAAACACAACTCACTGCTTTACACTCAATTTCAAAATGATCAACACACTCCTAGCAAAACTATATACATTTATGGCTATTGTTTACAGAATTTTGCCAACTGTCTGGCACAGTCTCATGTGAAAACTGCTTTAGATAATTAGTTCACTTTGCAATTAGCCTAAGCACTATAAATAAGCTACCGGTAAGCTGTCCGTGTGGAGTACAATGGAGGAAGCAGGAAGAGTGAGAAGAGTGAGAATTAGAGGAGGCCGAGGAAGAGGACATGGAGGTGAAGAAGTAGGACGAAGAGGATGACAAGGACAAGGAGGAGCAAGAGGAGGACGAGGAGGGGGAAGAGGAAGTTTAAGAAGAGAAAGAAATAGAATTACTGATGACATCAGCGCAACAATAGTGGACCATGTAATCAACCATGGAATGACCCTGAGGGAAGCTGGCCAACGGGTTCAGCCTAACTTGAGCCGCTACACTGTAGCAAGCATCATAAGGACATTTCGAAATGAGAATCGGTTAGTACAGTCACTTTGCACTAAGATTTGTAGCACTGCCATATACTAATGAGAAACGCAACAATACCATAGATTAAAAAATACTGAAATTGTAACTTTACAGAATTGCTAGATGACCAGATGCTGGGGGCAGAGAAAGATGTTCACTCCAGAGCAAGAGACCCATATAGTGAACATGGTGATTGCCAATAATGCAATAAGACTGCGCGAAATACAGCAGCGCATAATTGATAATGACACCATCTTTCAAAATATACACAGTGCAAGCATTTCTGCACTAAGTCGTG